TAAAATAAAATAAACGTTAGTAAAACTTAAGACCAAGCTTTACCTAAAAAATCGAAAATTTACTTTTTGTCCATCCATAAGCGCTAAGGGAAAAATCATTAAAACATTTTATTCGTTTTACTACATAACAGACATTGCAGTGTATTTTACTCAACTTTCACAGGTGACCAAATTCTGAGAAGCAGGTATGTTCCAGATTCTGCTAAGATATGAGACATGCCTTAATTTGCATGGTGAATATGTCAAAAAGTAGTTTGATGTGTATTGATCTCTTCTGTAATAAAATGCAAATTAAAACAAATTGCTAATATTTTTTTATACCCAAATGGGGCCTACTTTCTAGATGATCTTAATATTTTACTATATTTTTGCTTAGTTCAAAACTTGAATTTCAAAGAAATTCTTAAATGTAATCAGAAAGTGACAGAACTACAGCATCATATCATTCCAGAGTTGCCAACTCACCCAATTTAGGCGGGAGATTCCTGCTTCCAAGATATTGCTCTCGACTTTATCTCATTTTTAAAATTTCTCATGATTTTTATATAGCTTAATACTTTGTTACCTGCACCAAAAAAGTGGTCTGATAGCACTTAGTTTTCCTCTAGATTACATATAAAAGAAAAGTTGTTTTCAGTGATAAATTATGGCATGCTTCTGCTTTGTGAGTGAGACCCAAAATCATAGTGTTCCAGCTCTCCAATTAGCATCTGGCACCATTCTAGGTCATCTGTCATATATTAGCTAATGAGAAGAAAGCATAATTGAGGTTGTTATTTTGTTCATCTTGTCACTGAGTATTGTCACTACACGTGCTTTCGAGAAATAATTTAAGAAATTACAATCTTTCGTATTAGTTGTTTCTGCGAGAAAGGAAAAATACTCATGTAGTTTTAAAAAATTGTACACAGATGAATTTCCTTCTGTTATTTCCTTAAGGAATTTTAATACATTTGCGATGTGTACCGTTAGTCATTGCAATTTTTTGATTTTGTGCGGTTGAAGAGCCGGTATTCTCGTATATATGTGTACACAAAAACACAAGGACAAATGAAATCTGTTGAAAAATTAAAGGTTAAATTTTTCTCTGGAAATAAAACATTAAAAAGTTTTTAATGCAGAATGCCTGTTCTCTGCCTTTTTATTGGAGCACAGTTTGCCACTGAATGCATTAGATCATGCTGCAGTTTTATTTAGAAAGATGTTTCCCAATAGCAAAATCTCTAAGAAGCACTCAAATGCAAGGACAAAAACGGCAGCAATTGTTAAAGAAATGAATATGAAAAATAAATCTTCAGTAATTGAATACATTAACCCCTTAACTGCCACGGGCGTATATATACGCCTTGCTCAGCCAATGCGTTAACTGCCACAGGCGTATATATACGTCCTTCCAAAATACTATCATTTGCTTCGCGCTGCTACCTGTAAAACTATTCGAAAAGCTTTAGAATGCAACACCACAATGACCTTTGCAAAGTATGCGAAAGAGGATACTATTTCAGAGAAGTGTGGGGAGAAATTGGAGAGATGGATGTGTCTAAAGCCGTGAAAGGAATGACTGCGCGGTATTGGCTGGGGTTGTTTGAGTAAAACGTATTTTTTTTTATTCTGTGTCCTCCATTTTCATTTACTTTTTGTAGTAGTTTCCAGGAATAAAGAAAGATATAACGGATGTTTCAAACCCATTTATCTTTTTTTGATAAACGACTTGTGCTTCATTTTGTTACTGAAACTAACCGTTTTGTAGACAAGTATATGAACCAACACCTTGCAAACGAAAAATCAAGAACAAAATTGTGGCATTCAACCAGTTCAGAAGAAGAATATGTTTTTTTAAGCATACTGATTTCACAAGGTATAGCACTGAAACCTGATATTACACTTTACTGGTCTAAAAATGAATTGATCGAAACTCCATTTTAGGGATCTTTTATTATAAAAACATCATTTTTATTATAATTACATCTTTTTATTATACTTTTGCTCAAAACATTAAATTTTGTGCATTCATTTTTTTTCTTTTATTCTTTATTTTGTGAAAGTAAACAGTTTTTAGAAAGTAAAACTTGCACTTATTTTCCCTAATACATCGCATAACTATGCGCACCTGTGTGAAAAACTGTGGCACTGGGAAATGAATCTTGTATGTTTTCTGCGGCAGATAATTCGTTAAAACAGTTCCATTCTGCCTCTACAAATGGGAGCAATAATACGGTTTCAAAACTGTATCCAGTTATTTTTTTTTTTTTTTTTAAATCCAATGTCTTCAGAAATTGAGTGAAGTTTACTTTCTGACCCCACTGAATTACATTCAACAGGCTTTAATATAGCATAACTAATTATTAAAAATTTGAAAGAAAATGCAATTCCTCTGGATAATTGCTTAGTGCTTGGCTCCAATAATGCACCACTAATGGTAGGCTTGAAGACTAGTGTTTCAGGCATCTTATAAAAGGAAAATTCAAACAAATTATGAGGTGCACCTGTCATTCTTTACCAATTAATGTTCATGAACACATTGTTAATGTTTATTATTATCTTCAAAGGCATTATAAAAGGAAAGAAAAATTGAAACAATTCCAACAGCTGCATAATACTGAAGTAAAAAAATTTTTTAAACATGTAAATACTGGCTATCTTTAAAGAAATGTTTATCTAGAATCCTTGAACTATAGAATTCCCTTCTTGAATTTTTTGAAGAAGTAAATGCTTTTAGATTTAAGGTAAAAGGCTCTATTAAAAGTTATAAAATACTGTAAGTAAATGAAGATACAGTTACTTCTTCCACTGTTAAAACAGATTTGAGAAAAATGATTTCTGCACCAATGAGCAATGTAATTGGCAGTTCTTAAAATATTGCTACAAAGTATAAGCATAAAGCTGACACAAATTTCTCTCAAAATTTTTAAAAAAAAAAAATCGCTCAACAAGGGAAACATTTTTTGATTACTATAAGTTTATTTTATGAAGAATGAATATTTATGTTTTTTTTCTTCAGATCTTAACAGATTTTTGCTTTTTTGTACAGTTCATTTTGCTATCTTTCAATGTTCTTAACACAGTCCTACAAAGCAGAATTCCATTAGACATTTTTTTCAGAGTTTGTAAAACAGTTCTCTGTTTTGTCGTCTTATTCTATGTATGATGTGATTTATGGTGAAATAGAAAATCACAAGAAAAATGAAGATTTAGTAATGGGGCTGCAACTGACAAAGTAGTGGAAAAACTTTCAGAGGAAGACAAAAATAAGTTTTATTTCCACATTAGAAGCTTCTTCTGCTGAATATGTGATTATATACAGCAAAAATTTCCTATCAATAATGAAGTGATTTTATGTGATAAAGTTGCCGATGTTTCTGCTCTGGCAAATGCTGAATAGATTTCCAGTTTTACTTCATTTAGTCAAGAAAGGCGATAATATTGATGTTGCAGTTGATGAATTGCAGCTGCAGTTTGCAGTTAGAAAATTTGGATAAAGTTATAAAACCAGCTAGGATTGACACCCAATAGAGTTTAATTGGAAAACTGAAAGGTGCTGGTGGAATTTTAAAATCTACTGAACTTATAAGGTATTTCTCCCACTTCCCTAGCGTGCCTTCGTGGTGTAACGGTAGCACGCTGGGCCGGTATTCCAGAGGTCTGTTGTTTGATTCCCGGCAAAGGCGTTGTTAATTTTTCATTGTTCCTGCTCCAAATTAACCTAATGACTCTACAAGTGGCGCCCGAACTAAAAGGGTTGTGGATGATGATTCTCCGCACCCAGGATTTGGTGACTAGGTCCCTTAAAACCCTAGTCGCCCTTTAAAAAGGGGAGTATATAAGGTATTTCTCCCACTTCCCTAGCATGCCTTTGTGGTGTAATGGTAACACGCTGGGCCGGTATTCCAGAGGTTTGTGGTTTGATTCCGGCGAAGGCGTTGTTAATTTTTCATTGTTCCTGCTCCAAATTAACCTAATGACTCTACAAACTGTCTACAGTAATGTTGCTTATCTGACAATTCCCCATTGTAATGCAGAGTGCTGCTTAGTTTAAAAAATTCTTTGGTTACAGGGCTGGCTATATCAACAGCGTAGTTTGTGCATTTGCACTAGGTGGCATAATTGAACTAAACTAAAAAAGCATACCGTTGTATTGGATGGTACAATTTCTAGGTTTGCACTATTCAGAAGTGTAGGCTTTGTAATGCATTGCCTGTTATATATGCTCCATGAACATCTGCACACAGTTGGAAATAATTGTGCAGTATGAACATCTGTACTGAACTTATGATCAGCAATCAGTTGTTCTCTTCACTAAGGAATTGTGCTTTATCTTACAATACAGTTCTTGTAACTACATATTACTTTCCCATCTATCCCAGAATGGATGTATATGGAGGTGGATCCAAATGCATGGTTGTTATTATATGTTGCACCAAAACTGCAAAATGACCTTAAAATAGTACAACAACCTGCCCTCTGAACTTGGTGAGGCTTTCTCAGATAACATGTCAAGATGATTTGAGACTTCTGTTATTATGTTTCCTGTTGCCATAGACAGTATCTTTTGTCTTTTTGTCCCTTTTCTCTGCTTTTATTTCTGTTACATGCCATTTTATAGTTCACAGTATAGGCATTTATATCCTTTTGTTGTATATTGGGAGCTGTTAGTACTATTTATGTGTTAAACCGTATTGAATGATTGATGATATGTTCTAGTGCTTGCAACTTTGCATTTGCTTTGCAATGTCAAGGGGAAAACTTTCCAGAAAATATTTTGGTTTGTATTCAAATTGTTATAGTACTTTATTTATTTGTATGTGCTTTCATTTGTATAAAATAATTTATTTCGTATCTGCTTATTGTACTGTGGATGGAAAGGAGGAAGTACTCAGCAAACATATTTTTCACTTCAGAAACTTCATTTTGTTTTGGAAATTTGAAAACAAATTATTGCTTTGTATCTGTAAAGTGAAATATTCTTTTCTATGTTAATATTTTCCCATTTTCTTCCTTAGGAGCTGACTTTCTCTATGATAGAGAATATTTAAGCACTGTTAAAAGTTTGAATTTAAATAGTGATTATGCATCTGCATGTATTGAGGGGAAAATTCAGCTTCATACGGTAAATAATTTTCTCATAATTTTCAAAACAAATGCTTTGTAACATATAGCCCATTTTCATGATATTAATAATCCCATTTTCATGACTTTCCTTTACAAAGAAAGCTTCTAGCTATTAAATTGCAACATCATGAAGGAAGCATGTGCCTAACTTGATATTTTCATATGTAGCATTGTAGAATAGGCTGATATAGTAATGCAGTGTAAGTACACAAAACAGGCAGAAGTAATGCCACCTAGAAGCAATGTAAAAGAGGTGAACAGAGAGTGGGGGGTGTTCATATGAAAACTGTTTTTTCATTGTCTGTATTATTTAGAATATGACTGTTATATAATAATCAGATAGAACAGAAACCACCATGTGTCTGAATTTGCTGATTGATTGCTGGAGAAATGTAGCATAACTGTAGACTATTCTAACCTTACTGTAGATTATGGCTGTTAGTATTACTGAAAGTTCAGACACAATCATGCAAATATGAAATCAAAGTTTCAAGGAAAAATGGATGGCGTAGTTGCAGAATCCCACTGACATCAATGCCAGAGAGGATAGGCATTGGTGTCCTGTATGCATGGCCTGTATAGGTTTTATAGCCCGCATCATTTACTCTAGCTCAGAAATTCAGATACGTAGAACAGGAGAAGTGTTCATACATGTGGTTGCCATGTCATCAGCAGTATTACAAGCTGTACAAAGCAGCTATTGCTTCACCTAGTTTTAAAGTAGAGCAGAACTCTGTATTGCTATAATGGTGTACTGAATGACCTAAATTAATTCATTCTGTAATATGATTATTTTAGATGAATCCCACCTTTGCATGCAACACCGCAATGGTTGTATGTTACAACGTGGTTTCTGTTGTTGGTGTCATACATTTTACATTAGAGCAACAGACCATCTAAAATGATTGCATGTGTTCATAGGGGTTCATCTATTGTGACCGTTTAGCATGCACTGCAGGAGATATGCTAGATTCCCCTGCGTTTGTCTCATATCGTCACACCGTAAATGAACCTCGTACCGACAGCACAATATGCAACCACATGTGACATTTAGTGTCATATGGATTATATGTAATTTTCCTCAACTGGCAGGACAGGAATAAGTATGATGGAAACCAGAAACTCACTGTTAGTATCCAGATATTATTCAAAAGAAGTGATATTTTGTCCCACACAAGCCAACACTGTTATTCTGGGGGCTCCCGGGCAGCCACATATATGCCATTTAAACTGGCATTTAATAATGAAAGTTAATGAATTTTTCATTTTAATTTGTATTTACATTTTTCATTACAATACATGGTGTAATACTGATACAGAGTACGGTGTGTTAATGTGATGATGTAGCAGGTATACACTAGTTATTAAACTAAAGTTACATAATTATCAAGCCTGTGGCAGTAAGGGGCTACAGTATGTATAGTTCCACATATATGCTGCATGTAGCCCTGTTTGTTAGTAATCCTTGATTAATGAGACCATATTAAGTTTAATCAACTGTACTGCTATTTAGTGATTAATATTTCTATTTACAGCCCAAGCTATAGCATCAGTTACTAGCATTCTTTTACTGTAGAAATTTTGTGCATTCACTAAATAGGCCTACCTGACTGTAGAACAGCTCATATTAGGAATGTAACACATATTCAGAATTTTATGTGCATTGAGGCAACATTTAGGCATTCCTTTTAGTAACTTTATTTTTGTGATTCAAAAAGGATCCTGCTGTTAGATTACTCGATTATGACAAAGCCTGCAAGGGCTGTCTGCCTGAGGGAAGGGATGCCTTTGTGGAGGACTTTCCAACCATGCAGCCAGCGTGTGCACCTGCAATTTAGTTGTCTTAATAACTCAGACACTGATGAGGCTCTTGATATGATTTGCAGTTATGTTTGATATGACTGGCAGTCTCGTGATTTGGATGATTTTTACTTTCATTTTGTTTGTTTTAATTAAAAGAGCCCTAGGTCTGATTCTAGATATTTGTTTTGAAGACCTGCATTTATGGCAGTTGTTACTCCTTATGATAGTAATGAGATTCTACTCCTTTTTTGCTCTGAAACTGTCTAAATTTTGTCACACCATCCATATTATTACAAAGTATATGTAAAGCACTATGATTTTGTTATCATTTAGTCTTTCATGGTGTTTCATTTTTAACAGGTGGCTCTTTATTTAAGACTAAAAATATTGTGTTTTTCATTTTTAACTTGATTTGAAATATTTTAGGTAAAAAATGGTTTATATTTTTGGCTCATTTATTTTTATATTTGTTTATTCCTTAGATTGATGAACCCAACATACCTTGTATGGAAAGGGAATCAAGAATCTTCCCTGATGCTGATCAAAAAAATACTATTATTACATGCCATGCTCTGACAAATGATTTTCTTATATTTGGAACTGATGTTAGTATCAAAAGTATTTTATTCGCCCAAACTTTGTTACACTGATGGAAAATGAAATGTAGGCAAAGCATTTGTTTAGGTAATATGTTTATTTGATTAATGTTTCAAGGTCACAGGTTAAAATGTGCATAAGAAGAACAGTTTTAAATGTGAAATTTTGGTGCATTAATAATTGCTCTAGTCACCATAACGCGGAATGCAAGCACGCAGACATGCATGTCTTATATGGGTGCCATATGTCATTTGATATGATGAAGTTCTATGCCTTTGCAATTGGTCAGTCAAAATCAGCAACAGTCTGTGCTAATTGGGGATGATGGTTGAATTTTTCATCCTATATGTGCTCAATGAAAGAAAAATCAGGTGCTTACAGGCCAAACAATATGTCAATACTCTGTAGAGCATGTTGGGTGATAGCATCTGTATGGAGACTATCATGCCACAAAATGCCCCTTGGAATGCTGTTCAAGAATGGCTGTACAACTGCTGCTGTCACCAGTCTGATGTGTAAATTTGCTTCCAAGGTGTGTGGGATAATGATGTGAGTGCTCCTGTTGTCATAGGAAATTCCTTCCGAGACCATGACTTCTGGTGTAGGTCCAAAATATGTAGGCCACAGACAATTTGGTTCCAAACCTGGCCTCATTCTAACAAAATACAAAATCACTGGCACAAAGATAAAAGCGGCTTTCATCTGAGAACATAAAAGATCTCCACTCCAACTTCCAGTGAGCTCTAGCTTGCCATCACTGAAGTCACAGATGACAATGATTTGGAGTTAGTGGTATGGCCATTAGAGAGCATCTGGTTCAAAGCTGTTCATCAACTAATCAATTTGTTACAGTTTGCTGTGTCACTCTGGTGCCAATAAAAACTTGAGTGTCTGCTGTAGATGCAGTGTGATGTATCAAGATAGGCAGTAAATAACTTCAGTCTTCCCTTTGTGGGGTGGCGCATGTGCGACCAGACCCCCCAGCTTTTTTGAGATAGTACCTTCCCATAACCACTACTATCAATATAGTGGATGCATCTGTGCAAAGTCTTTGTACAGTATCAGGAAAAGAAAATCCACCTTCTCGTAGCGTTATTAACCACTCATTGAAACTCGGGAAGCTGCTGATACTGCCTTCTTCATCTCTTTAAAGGTATTCTTGACTCAAATCCCACTCACAAAGCTTAATCTGAAGAAAGATAAAGTACCCAAAGTTTCTATCGCATATTTAACACATGTGATTTGCATTTTCATAGTGGTGCTTCTAGTGCTACATTTAATCGTCTAATGCAAAATTTGAATAGACGTCTTTCAAATGTCCAAACATGCCTCCCAAATTTTATTTATCTAGGACTCCTTAATGTTGGGATTTCATTTTCCATCAGTGTATATGATTTCTGATTACTGCTATGTAGATGCCACATATTTTTAATGATATTCAGCTTACAGTGTAATAGACATTTTTAAGCATGTAGTAATCGAATGACATGTAATAATCAGATTGTATGATTGTCTAAGTAATATATAAAAATCTTCATGTCGCGCTGTTAGATTTCACTCTAAAAAATTCATATATTTAGCTTGTTAGTGCTTTAACAGTAAAATGGTTAATATTTGAAAGTGTGACAATAAAATCTTTGTTTTGTGGTAAATATGCAATAAATAGCAAATTTGTGTAGAATTGTAAGATTTCGGTTTTTATTTCAGATATATTTTTCCTAAGTAAACACATTCTTTACTTTTATGTATTCTTGCTTTCAGAAAGTTTGTGGTAAAGTGATGAGTATGTGTGTACCTAGCAGTATTTGAATTTGACTATCAAGAAGTGTTAAGAGTAATGTCTGTAAAAAATGTATATGGTAGTGTAGTTCCTACTGCACTGCAAACAGAGTGAAAGCCCCTTTGGGCTCATTGGCACAGTCTCATATAGCGAGAAATAAAAAAATCTGAATTCTGTTAATCAGAAACATATTCCTTTTATGTTATAAGCACCATTTCTGGCAAATTTCTCACTGCCCGTTCTTCTCAAGATGGTGCTGTTTGAGCTATCCAAAATGATATTACAGTCGGTTTATAATATAACAAAAATATCCTTCCAAGAAGACCAAGAACTTTGCAGCAAGTATGTGTATTCCACCTAATGTTTCATAGAAGTTCACTATTTAATGTTTTTTTCTGTCCATTTCAAACAGAACTGAACTACAAGATTTTCTGCAAAATGTTTGAAAATACAAGTTTTTAAAATAGTGGCATTGTCAAGTTTGAAAAGATTTCTTATTGGCTTCTTTTGGATAAGGAAAACTGAGATGAAAATTTCTTGTTTTGGAATGGATTATGGAAAGCGTGTGAGGGCTATTTGCATAAGGCAAGAGACCCCATCATAGAGGACTTTCTTAGACGAACTAGCTTTATTCACATTACACGTAGGGAAAACTGCAAAACTCCCATTTGCCAGAGTTTGAACTCATGTCAAATTATGTGTATTGAGAGGTCTTACAGCTCAACTGCTGATAGGCTGGAAGCATTTTCTAAATCACTGGAAGAACTGCTGATTAAGGAAGGAAACAGTATGATTGTTTCTTGGTAACATTTTAGATGTCTCTTAAAAACAAGAGTATCAGTTTATTTGGAAAAAATTAGTGAATATTTTGTAAATATGCAAGCTTTAAATCATACTACGAAAATATTTAACTGCAGTGTGTAATTTGAAGAAGCCTCACTGTGAGAAACGTTGCATTAGTAAAATTCTATTCGTACTGAATGTTGCTTTCAATGTTTTAATATATTGGGATTTAATGCAAAATTTCGGGTAGCCTTGCATTTCACCATATATTGTAAGAATTAAAATTGAAAACGGCATGGATTATGGAAACTGTAACTGAATACAAGTTGAAAATAAGATTTTATATCTTGTAGTATATCTAAGAATTCTAAAATCACCAATTGTTGAGGAAGGTTGAAAAAGAAACTACAGTGTACTCTTGGTTATCTGGGCTAATCCTAGGAAAGGTCATGGATAGTCCAAGCTACCAATTTTCATTAATATTGTATGCATTTATTTCTTTAAAAAATCAGTAATTACTTTGAGAACGTTTAAGTATGTCAAGGTTCACTGCATATTTTTCGAAATGTTATTATTTTATTTGAATCTCCTTTTGTCAGCAAAGTCCAGTAGTATTTCAGTAGAAGTCATTGCTGTCTTGGAACTGATACAATGAATTATCAGGATCTTTTTTGCATGTATTTTCAGTATTACACACTGTATGTTCTGTTCTTGTGACATTTGAAATGATATCCACATCACTCAAGCACCAAAAGTCCAAGTTGAGCATTCCTCAATTTTTCATTCCTCAACTGAATCATTCCTCAATTTTTCCCGATCAGCATTTTTAAACAATTTTACATTTTAAATTTTATGGCATACAACTGAAGTTGATTTAAAAAATAAGAACAAAATATGTTATAGTAGTAAATTCAGTTGTTACCTCACCTTTTTTATAATTAGATAAATCTCCAATTTCTACATTAAGAAAAATCTTTTATTATGCTTTAAATATGCACATGTGTTTTTTACACATTCTTATGTATAGTGTTGAGTCTGCATGGGTGACCACGATATACATGGAAATTTGCAAACTGTATAATCCACACCTGAATATTCGAGAGTCCATTGTAAATACACACATCTGTGCTCAAAGAGCTTTTGTTGAACGAAACTTTTAGCCATATTGCATGTAAAGATACTATACTAGCAGTTGCAGCAAAATAAAAATATGCACCTAAAGCAAGTAAATGTCAGAACTGCATTCCTTAATTATTTTGTATTTCTTAAGTATGTACATTAACAAATATATTTTACTTCTCATTTTAATCTGTGGTGCTTGACATAAAATTTCCATAAACCTCTGGACTGAGTGAGTACGTGACAAAATGAGGCATTAAAAAAGAATCAACATATAACTAATTCTTAGTAAACCTTAAATGCCACTAATCTTTAAAATAGATGAGGCTGTTATAAGTGTAAAATTTAAATGACCTAAGTATAAATTTTTTTAACTTTATACTAATTACCTGATCAATTTTTCAAAGTTGATTTTATTCTCAATTTTTTTGTTACGTTAAGTATTAAATTATGTTTAATAACAATGTATCCTACTTACAAATTTATTTTATTCTTAGAATGGTATTACAGAAGTGAAGTTCAGGTACTGGTAATTGCTTTATTTATTCAATTTCCTTTTCTGATAGATCCTTAATATTTTTCATTAATGGTCCTTAAAATTACTTAATTTCAGTGGGCAGAAATGTAAACTGTAAAAGTCATCAAGTGTGATGTAATGAATTAAATGCAAAGAGATTATGGGCTTTGGCCTGACAATCCACTCATACATAGTTTGTTCTATAATACACTTAGAATCAAAGAGTGTGGAGTTTTTTGTTGTATTGTGAGGATTTCTATTGATTCATTTATACATTATGACTTAGATGCATTATTTATGCATGGGCAATTCAACTACGTAATGTATTCTTTTTTGCTTATCCTGGTATTGAAATGTCTTAGTCAGTTGTACTTAAATTGCAAAGAAAATAAGCTTATATTCTTTTAGCTCTTATTAGTACTTAGTACCATCAAGTAAAGCACTAGTATTCTTGGTAATTTAGGTTGCATAAGCTGTTTCTAGAGAATGCTATAAAATAAGCTGGCATTATTTTTTCTCAAAATAAAAATATATTGATTATTAATATATCGATATACATGGATTATTTGCAAACTGTATAATAATTTGTAACTGTATAAATTATTATCAGTGTTCAAATATTTTTAAACTGAACCAATTTATGAGTTTCATAAAATGGTCACTTGTTTGGATGCATATAAAATACATAACAGAAAAAATATGTTTCATATAAGCTTAAGCATTAATGTGTTCTACTCTTTTAGACTGGATTGATTCAACTTTTTTCATTGATGGAATGGGAATTCTCAATGTCTGTTAACCACCCAATGAATACTGCTATCAAATTTTTGTGTGCAGACCTTCCAGGAACTCGCATGCTTGTAATAGATGCTAAAGGATCTGCTCACATTTATAATCCAGTAAATATTAAGAACAGTTTTATAATTCTATTTTTGCTCCTTTTTTAAGTATATTTACTGTATAAATTTTAAAATGATTACCAAAAAACATATTAGGAATCAGTCATAATGAATTTAATTATTATCTTTATGCTTATATGATATTTTATTCACAATACACAAATTATTTAATTATTATTATTTGTAGTTTTAGTTATTAAGTTGTGTGTATATATTTTCTGTACAGACTGTTAAAACTCTTAGTCATAAACAATGGAAAATGAAGAGTGCTGAATGTTAAGAACTTTATTTTCTATTATTGTATTTCAAGAATTGGAACATTAACCATGAAGAGTAACTGAATTTCAATAATTGCCATCTATTGTTGCTGCTGAATTTCAGTAACTGCAACACCATTTTAACTGCTTCAGATTAAATTTGCTTTGTATTTTTTAAACATGTTCCATTTTCTTATTAATGCTTAATATAAGTTATTCTTACATTACAGTTCTGGCAGGAAAGTCACATTAATCATTTTTAACCAAAGGGTTGCTGTGTGCTGAAATGTTAAACGGATCACTTTTAATGAAATAATTTATTTCTATTCATATGAAATATATTTTCATTTATACCATGCAGGTATTTGCTTTCATAAAATATCTAATAACCATACAGAATTGAGAAAACAAAATATGCACAAAAAATATGTGAATATCGCCAAACGTATTACTAGAGTACTAAAATTTCCCTATTTAACCCTCTGAGCGGCCCATATTTTTGGATCTATCATGAAGGCCTGTATTTAAAGAGCCTTTATTAGCTAAATATGTATATTTGCTTATTTTAGTCTCTATTTTCATAAACTTACATTCATCAAGATGGCATTTATATTATTATTGAAAGTAAAAAAGCAAAATATCTTAAATTATAAATTAATATATAACAAGTGACAAAAAATCTCATGACCGGATAAAGCCGTTCATGGCACTCAGAAGGTTAAACCACATTTTGTTCAAAATTGTACATATTCTGGCCCAGAACCTCAAAATGAATTTGTGGAGGGCTTTGGCAACCATGTAAGAGACCAGGTAGTGACAAAGATTAAATTCTCCCATTATTTCTCAGTCTTAGCTCAGAAAACAACAGATATTGCAGTTGTAAGGCAGTTTTCTATCTGTGCCAGGTAGTTTGGTGAAACTGAACGTTGCAGTGATGAAAATTTTTCTTGTCTCCCCCCTCCCGCCATCCACAGGAGAAAATATAATTGCTGTTATCCTGGATACCCTGAAAAGTATGAGAATAAACTTGGATTATCTAGTTATTATAGGACAAGCCTTTAATAAGGTAAGAAATATGAGTGGCTGCTGTAAAAGTGTACAAGCCTGTATTTCTTAGCAATATTCACTTCTATCATGTATACAATGTAGCACCTGCAGTTTGAATCTCTCTGTCTCCAATGCTGGCTCTGAGAAAGTAATTCAGATTTGTGTTGGCACTATCACTGCAGTATATAGTTTTCTTAATATACCCTAAAGACAAGGCATCGTAGCAGCAACAATTGATACAACATTGCCTGGTTCAAATAGGAAATGTTTGAAGCAGATGAATCCAGTTGAGAGGCATGATACATTCATTGTGTTTCTGGATCTTCTTATACCAATGGTATTATTTAGTTTCTACCATTGGTAAAACTTTGAATAATATAACTCAGTGGAAAGAAAGGGAAACTGCTTTTATGGCTAGTCGCTGTTAGGTGCTATTAAAATTTCTGAGTTTATTGTTGACTTACATGTTCTGGTCAGGACATTTTAATTTAGTCTCTCTTTGAGTAATTTTTTGCAGAAAGAAGATACAGATTTAGCCTTAGCAATGTAATTTTTTTAACAAGTTATGGCTTTTCTGAGTAAGATGAGAACTAATGATGTGGAAGCATTCAGGTATGTGTTTATAGCAGCACAAAAGCTTTATGGTGATCTGAATGTTGAAATCGTCATACCTACAAAAGACAGAGTCTGTAGTGCAGCGTAAAGCCCCACCAATGCAGAATGCTACTTTTGAATTGCTCTCTTTTTGCTATTCCTTGATTATTTTGTAAAGGAATTCAATGAATGCCTGCTCAAATACAAAACGTATCTAGAAAGTTTTATGTGCCCTTCTACCAGATTATACCAACTCTCTGTTGAACTCTCAGCAACACAAACAGATGAAAATTTATTAACAAAATACCAGGATGATGTCAGTTGCTGTAAACTTGTAGCACTGGGGGAGTTTCAACTGCAGTGCAGTTAAGTAGCCAGTTTAGAGAAATCACCAAAATTTCCTGCGAAAGCTCTGCATGTGTGTAAAGCCGAAAAATTTCCAACAATAAGAAAATTTCTAAAAAATCTTAGTAATCCTTCTTATATCTACTGCCTTGAATGAAAGTATTTTTATTGAAAGGAAATGAAATTATTGTTTAATGAAAAATTAAAGAATTTAGAATTTTCAGTTATTGAAATCCTACTTGAGAAACAGAATAATCTAAGGTTGAGTAAGTGCACTTGCTAAGTTATACAAGGTGCCCGCTAAAGTCCGGTAACACTTGTTTAACTGCCAAATGGCTGCAGCTATAGTCATATAAGTGGTGTCTAGGTATACTAAAGTGGCTATGCGCTAGTAGATGAGATAGCATACAATGCCACTGGTGAAAAATGCTAGTGATAGCTTCCCTATCTCGTAAACAATAAGAGATAGGAAGAAAAAGTGAATTACAAAGTTGTAGAGCATTGTCGATTTAATACAAAAAGACAGTTAGTGGACATGAATATTAAGAGCATAATGCTGAAAATGCACATTTGTTTGTTTGTGATTTCCTACACTGTAATGTGACAAAATGATCTTAGAAGGAAAAAAAAATCTAGTTATCACAGGCTACCTTTATTTCTGATATTCAAACTTCTCCGTCAGCTTAAATGCACATCTGAACCCTTGTTAGAACTTCATGTTTCATGCATTGTAGCGTACTGGGTGACACGTTTGCACAAGCATCTCTAAATACGTCATTGAAGGTCCTGCAAGGTTTGTGGAGGGGTCACATACACCTGCAAACAGGTATATCCCCACAGGGAAAAGTCCTAAGGAGTCAGTCAGGTGAACGTGGAAGCCACTCTTCAAAACCACTGTACCCGATTATTCATTCTTTAAATTCCTCCATTGTGTACTACTTCACTTGTGACGTCTTGTGCGCATACAAGCCATCATGTTGCAATCATCCATTCTGGAGTTGAAGCAACAGCAGGTTCACAAAAAAAATCGGGTATTACGTTTTGCAGAAGTTCAAAATATCGTGCGACAATTAACATACCCTGGTAAAATTTTGGAATGATTAGCCTGTTACAAATTCTTCACCAAACATTAAACGAAAACCGTATTTGACGTCAAACATCAGCAGAGTATGATGGATTTTCCAGTGCCCAGTAATGAGTGTTCTGCTTATTATACATTTCATTCTGCGAAATGCATGCCTCATCTATCCACACTATATCTGCCAGGAATGTTGGCTGTACCTCTGTCTGGTTCATGATAAAATTGCACCAACAAACATCTCTCAGCATTCCCATCCAGCAATGCCTGATTAGGTGTTGGCCTGTATGGATGAACACCTAATTAATTTAGGATTTTTCAAACACGACTTTTTGGGATGCTACAAATTTCACTTATCTCACTTGTGCTGCTGTTTGAATATGTGAGAGCATATGGTAGACATCTTCCAGTTGTACTTTCTGCCCTATCTTAGCAGGCGTGTTGTATTGAAGTCAGCTACTAACGTAGCCTGTCTCCCTTAAATGTTTCACAGCCTTTAAGATTGTTTTGTATGAAGAATGAAGGTGTACAGGAAAAGTTGCCAATACAATCATGCTGCTGATCGTGCCTTGCACCAACATTCACCATAAAGTAAAACCATCTCACAATAATCATTTTTTGAAAATCGCTCCATGACCGTGAGCTTCAACATAGAACCCCAACAAGATATTTCTTTTATAGCTATCTCAGGTGAACATGTGTGACGTTTCATACATTCTTTGCATAATGCACAAATTTGCACACCAAGCTGAAGTTGCATTAAGTTGCTGCATTGTGCGACACAATTTTGCTTGATCTGCCTATTGTCTACTCTCGATACAAGGATGCACCCCATGGGGTTTGAGCCACAATCCTCTCTATTTTGAATTACAAGTGATAATGTGGACTCATTTTTCATCCAAAAGTTAATCTTTTCTCCTTTCAAGTTTGTGATGTTTCAGCATTCTATTCTTAACATTCATGTCCACAAGATGTCTTTTTTACTAAATTGATGATGCTCTACAACTTTTGAACTCACTTTTTCTGCCTATCTCGTATCATTTTCGAGATATGGATGCTAACTCCACAGTTTTCCACCAGCTGATGCTGTAAGCTATCTCATCTAGTAGCTCATAGCCACGTTACTATACCTAGACACCACTTTTATGATTATAGCTGCAACCATTTGGCAGTTAAATGGGTGGTACCAGACTTTAGTGTGTACCTTGTATATCCATCGTGATATTTCCAATGATGCCGAAGATACTTTCACTTCTCTTAAAAGAAAAAGACGTTTGGATATTAGTTTGTATTAAAATCTTTTAGATTGGTATTAAAATCTTTTGCATTATAATGTAAATTTTCTTTATATTAATTTCTGTAAAAAAAATACTTTTAACTTTTATACCTTCTTTTTGGAAGAAAATTAATATTTGAAATCCTGTCCTCCACATAAACATTCATTTCACCTTGAGAAGAAGCAATGAAATTTAAAACTAACTTTGAGATATGAGCTGAAGTAAGCGAGACCCCTGCACCCATGGAAAATTTCTCACTATGCACCTGCTGCTGGCCATTAAAATTACTACAGCAAAAAGGAGAGCAAATAGAATCTGATTTGTTGTACATACACAATATCATGGGAGGTGACATCATTAAATTTGCAGATGGTTTTGGGGCAATATTGATTGGCTGTAACACTGATTGGATATCGAGTCACATTGAGTTTGGATGACAGAGGCAAGTACTTTTTTGTTTTGCTGCTGTTATTTACAGTATGTAATTATAAGACAAAATTGTCAATTTGAAGTTCTTTTGAAGTGTCATTGCTGCACAACATGAAAACCTCTTAAAAATTGCCCTTTTTTCATATTTCAAAACTTATGGGTGTGAAGGTATATTATTTTGACCTTTTTTATTCTTTACAAGGGTATTTTCACATCATCTGTCAGATATATTTTTTTTAAAAAAACAGTCTTTATAATTAGTATCTTCTGCATTGTATTACTTCCTGAACATTCTGATTGCAGTAAAATTTATTCTTCTGTGTGAGAAATTTCACACATCTGTGAGGGAGAATGTGCACTTTTGCCATTTATGTTCTTCCAAATCAGTTATGCAATATGCTATGAGTTGAAGGTGCATGCTTTGTAGTTTAAGTTTTGAACAATATTATGTTTAAAGCTTGTTCAACTTACACAATTGGAATTCATTGCATAATTCATGATCAACCTGTGGTTGCTGTTTTTTGCATGTTTTTGGAATTATGGTGGGAAAAAATTTTAAAACATGTAAAGCATGATTACTGTGTTCAGTAAAAATATTATCATTTATGCACTTCTTGTGAGTAATCCCAACTTCCCAAAGTTTATCATTAAGAGCTGTGTCATTAAAATCTCAGTCTTAAAAGTCAAGGTAGTGTGCTTTTTAATATTTTCTGGGAAATACTGTGTTCTGAAAATTATTATTTTATGAAGTAATTATTTAAAATACTTATTATCACTGCTATTTTTTTAAATGCATTACATGACAAACTACTGATTTTATACAAAAACCTCTTTGCATTCTAGATAGATTCTAGTCTTTTGAGTGTTCCTAATTTTCAAACAACTGCAAGCACAGTTCTGTGGGATCATGATGCAATGTATAAGGTATATTGACAGTTTAAAGTAAAACATCGTCTCTCACTTTGTTTCTTGGTTACATCTATTGTGCAGTAATTTTCTTCATATATTTCATAGGGTGTTTTCATTTCATTTGATGAAGAGAAAGCTGATTCTTTCATCTACATCCGTGACAGTATAGAAGGTAAAAAGCTTACTGTACTTGAAGTATTCTGCTTAAATGCTTAATAAAAGAACTCATCAAACTTTCTTAAACACTTATCATAGTTTCCCTTCAAGCATTCTTTAAGGTACAAAATTCAAAGAATTTGTTATGTATTTGACATGCTTCTTCACAAATTCCAATTTGTATTTCGCCTTATCCCACATGCAGCAGAAACTGTCTTCTGTAAACCTTTTAATCTGTGCTATGTTGTTCATTTCATCTAGTCTTTAACATGTAAAAGATTACATATGTATCAGCATGTGATACTACTGTGATGTTACAGTTGAATGTGGTGTTGGCAAATGTGTATTTCTTGCCAGTTAGGAATTCTCCTTGGCTATGGATATGGAGATTGAATTAATGTGAAGCTGCCTGAAATCGTGCTTTCCTTAATAAAAACAACTAATCACATTCATGAATGCTATAAATTCTGAACATGAAATTAAATATCAATAAATTGTAAAACTAATATGAACTAGAAAGTTAACTACACATTAGTTAGAAAACTAATGTGAACTGGAATGTTAGATTACATTGTATAACAAACTTTTTTTTTTAATTGTGACATACATGTCTTTTAATTAAGAGATAAATGTTCATAATTTTAAAAGTGTGCAATTTGTGTTGTGTACTTCAGGCTTTTTTGTTTTACTGACACATAAAAGAGTATTTTATTGCAGTGGCATGAACATATGCAAGCTTAATGTAAACAAACACCACATTATCAGCATTTTATTAAAAAAGCAATTTATCAAGTAAAATGTTTGTTATCTGAAGCGTTAAATTTTTCAAAATAAGGTGTAATCAGTGTTTCCTCATCTGATTCTTTCCAAGAGGTTTATTGACATTTAAAAAAAAATTTTTCTTTATTGTAATATTACAGTGTAATGTGTCTTCTAAAAAGTAATAAAATTAATATAAGCTATTTCTAATTGCATTTTATGTTACTAGCATTGCAATTAATTCTTTATTATCAGTAAAAATTATCATTAGTGTAGCAATAATATACTGTAATAAACTGTATTAATTTCCTGAATTCTGTACTTATGAGGAATACATTTTGAAACTGATGCAGCATTTACAATTATAATTAATTCAGTTATTAATTTAAGCTTAAACTGATTTAATATGCTTTTAAAAACCCAAATGCTTCTTATAATACATAAACGAATGGCAGAAAAATGCAGTATGAATAACTAGTCCAAATTATTAAAGGAAGAAAATTGAAGATTCTGAAATTTTTTACAATTTACCTTACCATTTTCTGTCAGAATATTAATCTATTTATTGATCTTTTCCAGTGCTGAATTATCTAATATGTATACCTTTATGATTTTGTCACTTTTATGCAGCTGAATACTGCACAGCATGGCAATTTGTAAGTCAGACATAAAGTCTCATTTCATAATTTGCTAATTTAAATTCCTGAAATAAAAAGTTTTTGAAAATATCTTTCAAACTTTATATTGCTTTGTAATAAATATTTACTGAAGAGCAAATCATTTTTTACAAATATTTTGCCTTCTTTCCTACTCTGTATCCAAGCAGTCAAATCATTTTATTGGTATATCATGCATTTTAAAGGAAATTGTCTTAAGTTTTTGGTTATATTATCAGTATGATAGACCCAACTTTTAATTTCCTCATACTGTTTTGCTAATGAATTTATTTAATCTTTCTTTGCACATAAATCTAATATTTAGTGTGTAATTAATTAATCACCATGTATATTTCAATGCTACATTATGTATCAATTCTGAAAGGTGTTACATATAGGCCTCAGATGGCTTTGATAAGCTTGGTGAAGGTATCAAAATTTTGGCATTGAAGAGTTATGATCATTTTTTCTTATGTAAAGTATAAATTACTTTCTGTTATGGCAATATGGAAGATAATGGAGATCCTTCGATGTGTAGGTTGTGTGCTCAGATATTCGGTAACATACATTTCAGAGTTTTCTGTTCACTGTCACGGACCTATTGTCTGTGACTGTTATTTTGAATGCAACAAATTCTTTCATTGAGTGTTTAAACAGAAACCCTGTATATGTTTCAGAGTTAAGTGTTTTTAAAGATTTTATCAATAGTGACTATGATTTCTACTTTTCTACAGGTAGCAAAGTTGAACTGATTCATACATTTCCTAAAAGTGATTTATATCCTGCATTGCTGGTTGGAGGGGAGCTGATATTTCTTACTGCAACAGGGAAAACATCAGTTATGTCTGTTCCTGGTCATCGACTGGATATTTATAGCAATACCCATGATCCAGATATTGTAATTTTGTTTTTGTAGATAATACTATACTTGAAGGAATAAGATTTCTCTCAGTATACTAAATTTCTAATTGTATTATGATTATATGCTGAAGCCCAAGAAAACTGGTTTTCCAAAACTAATATTCTGTAGGTCTTTTATGGGATCATAGAACTGCAGAAAAACAGATTCCATGAGCATATGGGAGGCTTCTATAGAAACACTGTGCTTTCTGCAAAGTCATCTATCATTTTATTGTGATAAAAATGTAGGATTTCTGTGTATTACAGCTTGTTACATGACATCCCATCTACATTCAGTAATGTTGAGTCTGATGACTTAGTAGACATGGCAAGGCTTCAAACTCAATTGAGCAGTCCTTTGACTGTAATCTCAAATCTGTAGTTAATGTAGCTGTCATAATCCTGTTGAAAGAGGCCAAACTGGTGACAGTAGTACAGATATTAATAGATATATCAGGAGAGGTACTGCATGAGAGCTGAACAAATTATGTAATGTTGTATGCATTCATGAAGTTAAATTCATATATAGATAATTCATTCTATCCAAAATAGTTGGTAATGCAGATAGTCAGACTAGGCTGTCATCAAATATCTAGTGTACAAATGAAGAAACTGCATAGCACTGTGAAGAGGATTCATTAGATGTACTGTCATATTCCACATGCTGAAGTTTGTTGAAACCGCCAACACTGAATTCTGATGTTACTTAAGCAATGGTTGCAACCTGGGAAGCCATAGCCTCTTCACAGAGGTGCCTTGAAATATCATAAATGATTCATAATTATTTGAACTAAGACATTTGTCCTAACTAAACAAAAAACAAAGTGAGAAACTAAAAGTATCTAGATTTTTTTTTACTTGACCCTGTATAAAGTTGCTGGCACAAAATGTTGCAAACTTGAGCCTGCAGTGGTGCTTCTTCTCAGTCACACCATATGATCCTGATATACTTCATGACAATCTAATCTGAGAGCACGTACAAAGCTAGAATGATCTCTTTACAGTTTTCATGGCTCATTCCGTAAAAAGAAACATGCATGTTTCGTCATATTGTTGCTAAAATTAGCTCATCATTTCGTTTGATTCAGGTTTGTGTGTACAAACTTTCAGTGGTCATTTTTTCCTCAAAGCTGGAAATCTACCATTTTCTTTCCAGTGATATTCCATGCAATTTAGCTTGTCACAGAAATGCCAATCAAATCTGCTACAAAAGTAACAATTTCATGACTGGATTTATTAGGAAAATGATCCCAAAATTTGACAAAAGGATTCCTAATAATAATCTTAGTGGAACTGCATAGTGGTTCTCCAGCCTTATGAGGATTTGAAATTATACACATACGAGGGCCATCCAGGAAGTAGATTACGTTTCCGTCTGTGTCCGCTAGGGGCAGGGCTAGCGCGGCCATCTTGGGGTCAGAGCGCTGCGCAGCTCAGTCTGCATCTAGCCGTGCTAGTGAGAGGTTCGTGCTGTGCTCCGTTCAGATACTGTGATGGTTTGAAATGTCTGCGTTAATTGAAAATCCCGTGAGCTGCGGGTGCGCGCTCAGTAAGAAGGTTTCTGACTGCAAAAAACTGTAAACCGATAGAAATCTATCGGCAGCTTTCGAAGTGTATGGGGACAACATTATCACTGAAGGTGGAGTGCGTCGTGGGTCATAAGATTTCAAATGGCCGAACCAATGTTCACGACAAAGATCAAAGTGGGAGACCCAGCATAGTGACCGCCGAACTTCTCGAAAAAGTCGATGCTAAAGTCCGTGAAAATCGAAATTTCACAATAACGGAACTTTCTTGAGTTTTCCACAAATTTCGCGAAGTTTGTTGCACGAAATCATCAGCGAAAAGCTTGGTTACCACAAGTTTTGTGCAAGATGGAAGGCAAGAAGAGGTAACGAAGTGGTTGAAGGCGCAGGCGGGGCCGAATTTTTCGACGAAGGAATTTCCAAGCTCGTACATCGCTACGATAAATGCCTTAATTTGTATGGTGGACTATGTAGAAAAGTAGTATTTGAGTGTGGCTTTCATCTGTATATAATTAAATTTGTTTCCTATACTTTGTTTATTTTTTTATTCCAAAACGTAATCTACTTTCTGGATAGCCCTCGTATATCAAAGATGAAGCTGATATCATAACAATTGACCTCTTCCGCCGGCCAGTGAATAAATGAATGCTTTAATTGCTTTTCTGAGTGAGAGTGGGGTGAATTTGTTTTTGCTGCAACCTGCTGTTTTGTCAGTAATGCCAAAAAAAAAAGGAGAGGTTTTCCTTTTGGTCATTGAATGATTGATATTGATATTAGCAAATATTTAAATAAAAAGCTTGATGCAACATAATCTATCATTTCACTCATTTTTTTATTATGTTCTCTTTGCTCAACAATATTTATATTTCAAAGCATAATTTTTGCAATGTGACATCTCGAAATTGTTGAATACACTTTCTAATATATCCATGTTCTCAACTTTAGCTGAATGATCATATAGACACATTGAGGTGCGTAGACCCTTTGGGACAGATTTGGACTATTCTAGGAGATCTTGTGAAAAGCATTTGGCTCAATTCAGTCAGTCGGTTTATAATCTAAGGCTAGTGAAATTAAACTCAGCACTTCATATAAATAAACAGTGACATAAAGTAGTTCATGTTGTATAGTTAGTGTTATATTACTTCTTGTTTGTTTTGTTTGATAAGTAGTTTTGTAATTTTATTGCTATTGTATCTCTGATGATGGATTGTTTTTTTTTAAACGGTAATAAACATAATTGTGCAGGGAAAAAAGTATGTCTTCAATCAGTCGAATGACTGTGAAGAATCGTAAGTATGATGATGGTTATTTAGAGTTTGGATTTTACATCAACAGAAATAAGCGATGAAGGGAGACCACAATGTGTATTGCGTATGACAATTTTGGCAGTGGAGTGTATGCTTCCAGGTAAATTGAAGTGCCATTTAGGAGCTAATCACTGTAGAATGGTTGGCACACCCTGTGATTTTTTTGTGCCAGGAAGTTAAGGAACTGAAAGAATAAAAAATTACTTTTTTAAGACGTCAACAACGTGGCTTACAGAACGTCAAAATGTAAGAAGCTTCATGCCATCGCAGAAGAACTTATTCTGTCAGCTGCTATAGATATGATGAACATTATGTTTGGCGAGACTGCTGAGAAGCTGCTTTTAAAAGTGCCTTTGTCCAATAACACAGTTAATCAAAGAACACAATGTATGGTGGAGGATATAAATGATTAATTAATTGAAGCAGTTAGAGGAGTGCAATTAAAATTGAAGCTAGATGTGACTACATATAATAATAAGGGTGCTCATTTGATATGCTAGGTATGGTTTATAGATGGAAATAATATTAACCCTCTGATTGCTCACGTGTTTTTCTTCCTTCTTTATTGAGGAGCGCATCCTGTTTTTTCCCCATTTAACCACTGAAATAAATTATATACAGTATTAGACGTTTAGTTTACGCTTTGGCCAACAGATATCTTCAATTGTCCACTAAATTGAGGCATTTAATGGCACGAGGTATTACTGCTCAAATTCCACTTTTTGCCGCTTTTTTCTTACAGAAATGGCTGCTAGAAAACATACAGCGATTATCTTGATTTAATTAAATTATTGAATTATTAATTAGATTTATTGAATCTGGTGCAAAGACTGTGAAGTTGGACTTTGCCTTGAACCCTGTTTAGAACTCTATCATAGTAAACTGCATTTCTAAGATAATTTTTCCTCAGTGCTTTATATTTTCTTAAATTTTATATATTTTACTTTTTTATGTTATGCAATAAATAGAAATTAACTGTAATTCGACTGAAATTTATTTTAAAAAAAATTTTTGGTCATAACATATGAAATTGGTTTCGCTGCAACTTAGTTTCTCATGATAAAAATCTGTATAAAAAAATATTTTCTAGAAAGGAAAAATGCATTTTTCAATTCTCCAATATATATAGATTTAAAATATGAAAAAAAAATTACACAATTTTTTTAAGCGATTTCGGTCTACAAATTGAGCAGTCAGAGGGTAAAAGAATACCTTTTGTTTTGCAAAAATATCTGGTGTCTGTACTGATAGAGCTTGCTGCTATGGGGGATTGCAGCCACTTATTTGAAGCAAATCACCAAGTATGTTGTGGATGCATTGCATTATTTATGGAGAAGCACTTACATCAAAGCATTTGGATTCTGTACTGGATCATGTGTCAGAATGTGTAGTGAATGTGGTAAATTTTATAAAATTTCATCTGTTGAAAGCAAGGTTTTTTTTTAAAAAAATGTGTGAAGATATAGGAGCTGAACACTTATCTTTTTGTACTATAACAGTGTATGATGGCTGTCTCATGGTAATGTTTTATCACATACCTTTGAATTGCAGCAAGAAATTTTTATTTTTCTTAGAAAGGAAGGAGACAAAAATGCAGAATTTGCCAATGGCGATTTTTTAATAAAACTCTCATGTCTATGCGACAGTTTCGAATAGATGAATTCCCTTAATCTCTCTCTTTGCAGGCACAATATCATATAATTCAGTAGGGAAAATATCAGCTTTTATAAAAAAAAAAAAAATATGGAGAAGAAAATTGAATGAAGATGCAGGCAAATGTTGTTTTTCATTTTTGCACCAAATTTTGATGTTAAAAGAACTTGATCACTCTCAAGGTATAAAAACCATATTTGAAGCACCCTAACCACTGCTAATTCTCTGGTTCAAGAAATACTTTCAAATTGAAAATGTCAATAGGTTTGCATGGATTCAACATCCATTTAGCTCTAGTGCTCCGTTTGAATTTACTTCTGCAGATGAGAATCTTATCAAGTTATCTTGCAACAACAATTTGAAAGCAAAATTTAGCAGCATGGCATTGTTACAATTTTGGATTTCGCTAAAAGATGAGTATCCCCGTCTAAGCAACAAGACTCTGCAAATTTTAAATTTTAATTACATTTTCCTATTTGTGTGAAACTGGGTTTTAGACAGTCTGTAATAAAAAGCAAGTATAGAACAAAAATCAATGGGAAAGAGGAAATGAGGGTGGCTGTGTCCAGTTAATTCTGTTATTATGAGAAATTGTGCAGTGATTTGCTGGCTCCTCCAACACATTAATTTTTAATTTAATAAGTAAAAATATGAATATGCACAAATTTTTATTTATTTTTATCTCTTACTTATGATTAGTCGTACTTAGAGTAAGACAGCATGGGAAACTTTAAATTGAAAAAATGTGTTGCAACTGGGAAAAGTTTGGGAACCATTGACTTAAGGTATTACTGTACTTCTGTTGCATGAAATATTTCTTAGCAGTTGATCACTTTCTTAGTTTTAATTTTTTTTTAATTTTTATTTTCATTTATTTATTTATTGAGCCTAAATCCGTTTTTATAATTTCAAAATTTTGCAGTTACAACATATTTTGAAATGGGTAATAAGAGGAAACCAATATTTGGCCTCTAAAATACTATGCCATAAGCTCATGGACTCTGATCATTAAGTTGCATTAAAATTCACTTAACTTTTCTTTTAATGAGCCATTTTCAGTGCAGAAAGAGCACCAGGAACTTCCATAAATGTAAAGAGAATCTTCATAAGCATATTAGTGGATACAACTAATCACATGCATAGTTAGTGTTGCTATGTATTTTGCATAAGATCATTTGTATTTGTTTCTTTGGTATATCAGTGTACATTCGTAATAGAACTGCAAAAAAATATATATATTAAATTTATTCATAGTTTAATTATATTTTTAATTTAAAAGTATATGAATGAACTGTTATACTTGCATAATAGATATATGTTCTTTGATTTATCATGCTACAAATTTACTGTTAATTTAGCTACTGCATTAAGTAACCTAAAATTATATTCATGAGTAAGTGCGTCTTACTTAACAATGTTTTTAATTTCCAGCTGTTAAATAATTTCCAGTCAGCCTTGAAATTAAGAAGGTAATGCATATTTCTGTAAACTGATTTTCTGTTCCACTTTTTCTTTTACATACTATACATGTAATAAAGCAGGTTTCATGTTATTAAAAATCTCACGTTATAGCTTTGTAATATTTTTTACATATTTAAGGTTTGACCAAGCTTACTCTCTGGCATCACTCATGAAAGATGAAAAGTACTTTTTAGAACTGGCCAATGCAGCACTTTATAACTTTAGACATGTGTACAGGTATTATTTTATTATCACTTTGGTTATTATTCCATGCTAAATGGCATATCAGTGTTATGAGATTATTTCTTATGTATTCATTAGCCTCAAGAGTTTTTGAAAAACTTGGAGAAGGTAGTGGAGTCCTGACGTTGGAAGGAATTAAGGTAAGTTTATGGTTATAAGCAAATTTTTCATTGATTTTAAACTCAGTTTTTATTATTTCTAACCTACCACATTCAGATATATGTGTTAATTATGGGTATGATTATTGTGAATTGTAGTGGATTTTTAAAATTCTTTGCTGCCCAACTGGTATAGTGGTTAGTGACTCTGATTGCCATACAAAAGGGCCCAGGTTTGAATCCCAGAGAAGGCATGGATGTTCGTAAACGTATAGTGTCTGCAGCATAGGGGCACTCTAAATATATGGCAAGCTGAAAGTACTCCCGAGAGGTTGGGGGTAGGAAAAGAGGGGGAAGACCCTTGAACCCTTCCTTTCCTGGGTGCTCTTCATCAAAATTGAAAGTGGAACTGAGCAAAGTTTTACTGACACGTGAATTTCGCATATGACAGGCGCAATCTTGCACTCCTTGCCACGAAGAATGTAATGGGCTCGTTTTGATGTTACTGTCAGATAAGTGAGATAAGTCACAACAATAACCGGAATAAAAAGTTTGGTTACAAACTTTTGCTGTTCTGGTAAAAATAGTCGCCCATAATCAAAATTATACAGTCTAAAATCCAGATGATCAATATATTCAGAATGATCAATATCTGTACCAGCACCACAGAAAAAAGTGTTTTTAAAAAGTCTAGAGATAAAGAATATAGTACTAAAAAAGTAAATGTGTTGTAAAAAGGATTTTTCTCTGTGCTAACTGGGATTCCTCTATGTCACTTTTAAATACCTGCTGGCTAAGGAATCGCTCTTTTGCTAGTGGCGATAGATTGATTGACATTAGTCACAACCACGCTTTCAGTGGTTGAGTGATTGTAGGGGGTTTAACGTTTTTATTTCTAACCTAAACAATAAGAGAAGCTCAGTACATGTACTATTTGGAGTAGGATGTTTCTGATTCTGGACTTTTTTTGTGGGAAGGCATAGCTTCAGGAAGAAAGAAAAGAAAATTAGATTCTAAAAGAAAATAAGTTCAGTTAACATAGCAATTGTGTATACTGTTTTTCTTTTGTTACATAGCAGTGGGGAAGCAGGAAAGAATTAGATTCTGGAGTGCTAAGCCCCACCAATGGCCGAACAGTTAAAGCTGCTGAATACTGGAAGTTTAACCCAGTTTGATCGCAGTCAAATAGGATGGCTACATGTTTGTTTTTCTCCATGCGTAATGTGAACAAAAGCCAGTTTCCCTCAGAAAGTCCTCTATAAAAAGATCCCTCTCTATAGGCAGATAGCCCTTAAAATGGCATGCTGTGGTTTTTACCAGAAGGGGCTAGATATAAAGAAAAATTGTATGACTATCTAAGATGACCCTGCTTAGATAGAAGGAGTGATCATCTTAGAGAGGTAAAATTCAGCACTAGTGTTTATGTTCTCAGAAATACTTGTAACTTTCAGGTGTGATCATTGCAACAGGGTTTATTGTATTTTAAAAATAAAGGTTATTGAGTACAATAATGTTTAAGATGTGCTGATGAATTAATGAAAATTAGGTAAAATGGGGAAGTCAAAATGATCTTACCATAATAAATAAATAATATTTTTAATCTAATAGATGTCATAAAAATAAATCGCTAGTTTAAAACATTTTTTCTTCAAAAAGAGCACAAAGGCAGCAAAACAGATTACTTCTTATTTTGTATGTTGTTAATCGTTTTTTAATTACATAATATTCCACTTTGCAATAGTGGGTATAATATTTCATGCTTAAACAGATGAGAGCATGTTGACTAGATTTTTTTAATGTTATTTTTATGTGTTTCAACGGTGTATTATTTCCTAAAAGAAATGATAAATAAGCATTTGGGACCATAGTGTTTTGATACTGAAAAAGAGAATCACAGATTGCTTGCACATGCTCCATGTGTGAGGACTAATTTTGTATGACTTCCCACTCCATAGAATAAACTTGGAATTACCGCATCAATATATTTTACTTCTCATTATTTTACAAACCATAAAATAGCTTCTATAAAGATAAAATATATCACTGAGAATTAAATTAATTTCTCTTATTAGAATCACAAGAAAATTTTAATTTCTTACAATCTACCACAGTAGTTAACAGCATATCTAAAGGATGAAAGGAATCTAGTCCTTTCATCCTTTAGATATGCTGTTAGTTAGGATGAAAGCCTGCTAGTCTTCTCTCATATAGAGCCAGCAGAACTCGGACTCTTTCCATTTCCACAAAAATCGAGTACGATCGAATGATGCACAGTTTCACATGAAGTAAAGTGATGATCCTTTTAATGAGTTTTGGTGTTAGGTTAAAGTACATCTGAAAGTATAGTGGATAAGATGTTAGTGAACTAGCCAGTCCCTGCGAACCATTTACACCACTTAGCCTTTGTTGGCTTTGCTGTAATCAAATAGCCAAATAACTTAGTTCAGTTAACATAGGAAATTGCACCGTTCCATAATTTTCTAATTTGATCCAGTGTATTTGTTGCAGACTATTATAGCTATCATATCAATATTGAAGTTTGTAATCCTTTATTATGTTGAAAAGAGTTTCTAACTCGGGAGCTGTAACAGGATCTGCAAAGCAAAAGTGTATTTGGTACTTGCCTCCTATAGTGGCCTTGGCTAAAGAAAATGGTGTTCACTCAATTCAGGCTTAAGAAAGTGAGTCTATCCACTGGGTTTACACCTATCTGCAGGAAGGCTCTTTTTATATCCAAAATTACCCCATACTTTCCTTCTCGAAATTTTGTGAAAATTTTTTGGATTAATTCAAGATAATTGGGACCCTTTTCCAGGCAGTCATTCAGAGGTAACGAATTTTTCTCCTTTGCAGATGCATCAAATACTGGTCGAATTTTCCCGAAACACTGCTCTGTGTGGCAGTGCCTCCGAAATATCGACAGGTTCAGTTATTCCTTCTTCTACCCAATCCTTTAAAACAGTGTTATAGGCATCTAAGGAATTCTTAGTCTGAAGAGTTCTCACGCAAGTTTTCAGATGCTTTTCTGCAAGGATTCTATTACCTGGTAACTTAGGGTGAATTTGAAGCCATGGAAGTGATACCTGATACCTTCCAGTGTCATTGCTTTCTAAAGTACGGATAAAATAATTTTCTGTAGCCTTTTCTATTTCTTGTTTTGTTTGGGAAAGAGCTGGTTCAGTTATTCCGATAGAATCAAGAGACCACAAGTAACAAATTTTTCTGTCAATAATTTGTAGTGATAAAAGAATTTCATTAAAATTCTTTCCCTTTACCCTCGTTCTCCCTAATATTGTCCAGCCAAGATGTGTATTCATTGCTACTAAACTCTCCATTACATGTTTTATTTCCCCTGTAAAGAGTTTTCTGGCATAATCTGCTCCTACAAGCATGTGTATTTCATTATGGTTTTTTCAAATAAACAGGAATTCTCATTAGTTGCATCACTGGGAAAAAATTTGTAACCTCTTAGTTTCTTTATGCAGCCCCTGTCCTCCAATTCTGGAATATGTGAACATACGGTTTCTTGACTCATAACTTCCATTTTGGATGTGAATCCTGTTTCTGGAATACTTAACTTAATTAGATATGTGTTGTGATTTTTGTCTTTTTTTCTATCTCTCTAAAAAACCCATGAGTCACACTTTCCTCACCTAGATTTTAGTTTTAATTTCTTCGCAAGAAATGCACCGATGTATGATCTGCTACTTCCGGTATCGAGAATTATCTGTATAAAATTGCTTTCACCATTTCCGTAAACATTGACAATTAAGTTTGCAAGATTATACTTATTATTATAAAATTATTCGTTAAAGCCTTATTTTCAATTTGTTGTACCTTAATTTCGCCATTTTCGCTTTTAAAACACATTATAGTGGCATGTCGTTGTTTACATAATTCACATCTTATTCTAGAAGTGCAATTAATGCTAAGCTGTCGTGGATGTAAACAGCGATAACATATTTCTTTCAATTTGCATTTTTCTTTTTTTTTTTCTCAGTAGACCACAAAGATGCTTGTTTACACATTATAGACCCGTGATCAGAAGAGTTGCAGAAAATGTGTGGAGTTCCCCCCTCCCGGCACAAACTTGTGTTCGTTAATTCTGACGCCGTGTGTTTTGCAATAGGTCTGGTTTCACTCAGTTTGTTATATTTTTGTGGCGCCGCTGAAGCGATCTTTGGCTGGACCATCGGAATGTTTGTTCCTGCTCAATTAACTGTTCAGAAAGAAATTCTACTAGATTATTCAAATCAAAATTTGCTTTTCAAACTGTTTTATTATATTCCAAAACCAAATCTGCAGGCAATGTTTTAAGCAAAATAGGTGTTAACAAAGCTCCATATGTTTCTGAGGTCATATTTAATGACTCAAGACATCGAATATGTTTCTGTACGTAATTGAATAACTTACAGAAATTTTGAATGTCATTAGAATCCTTTAAAGGCCTTATTTTCAGTAATTTATCTATATGGGCATTTATCAATACATCGTTATTTCCAAATCTTTCTGTGAGAAGTTTTCTGAAGTTTCATAACTTTCTCCAGTTAGATCGAAACCGTCAATGGTGTTATAAGCAGTACCTCCCAAAAAGAATTTCAAATAATTAAATTTACTTATAGCCTCAAGCATTTTATTTTGATGTATGGCTGCTGAAAAAGTGTTCCAAAATGTCAGCCATTCACAGCTCTTGCCATAAAACTTCGGAATCAGTGAGTTTAGGAATAAGTGGTGTTTAGGAAGCTTTACATTCTGACTTTCAGTTTTAACATTTTCTATCATACTTTCACTTAACTGTTCAGTGCTTTTTAACACACTCAATTTTTGTTGTTCTGTATTAAATTCTTTCAATTTTTTGTTAGCTTTGTATTTAAATGTAGTTATTCTTTCACGATATTCGTCAACATCGTTTAATTCCTGGTCTAGATCATTTATGTCTATTAATTTTTCGATCGATTAATTCCGTCATTGCTTAATATTCAATAATTCAACAAGTATCAGCAATTCACTAATTATGTATTATCTATATCACTGATATCAAT